CTGAACGTTTCTGACTTTAGAAAGCAGAGTCTGACTTTCGAAAGCAGTTGAAGTGTTGGCGTGACAGAGAGGAAAGTTCAGAGCTGAACGTTTCTGACTTTGGAAAGCAGATTCAGACTTTAGAGGATTCTGACTTTAGAAAACAGTTTGTGACTTTTAGATAGCAGTTGAAGTGTCGGCGTGACAGAGAGGAAACCGCCTCGCTGAATGTTTCTGACCTCAGAAAGCAGTTGAAGTGTCGGCGTGACAAAGAGGAAAGCGCCTCACTGAATGTTTCTGACTTTAGAAAGCAGTTTATGACTTTTAGAAAGCAGTTGAAGTGTCGGCATGACAGAGAGGAAAGCGCAGAGCTGAACGTTTCTGACCTCAGAAAGTAGTTGAAGTGTCGCGTGACAGAGAGGAAAGCGCTGCGCTAAACGTTTCTGACTTTAGAAAGCAGAGTCTGACTTTAGAAAGCAGTTGAAGTGTTGGCGTGACAGAGAGGAAAGCGCCTCACTGAATGTTTCTGACCTCAGAAAGCAGTTGAAGTGTCGGCGTGACAGAGAGGAAAGCGCCTCACTGAATGTTTCTGACTTTAGAAAGCAGTTTATGACTTTTAGAAAGCAGTTGAAGTGTCGGCATGACAGAGAGGAAAGCGCAGAGCTGAACGTTTCTGACCTCAGAAATTAGTTGAAGTGTCGCGTGACAGAGAGGAAAGCGCTGCGCTAAACGTTTCTGACATTAGAAAGCAGAGTCTGACTTTCGAAAGCAGTTGAAGTGTTGGCGTGACAGAGAGGAAAGCGCCGAGCTGAACGTTTCTGACTTTAGAAAGCAGATTCTGACTTTAGAAAACAGATTCTGACTTTAGAAAGCAGAGTCTGACTTTTGAAAGCAGTTGAAGTGTTGGCATGACAGAGAGGAAAGCGCCGCGCTGAATGTTTCTGACTTTAGAAAGCAGAGTCTGACTTTTGAAAGCAGTTGAAGTGTCGGCGTGACAGAGAGGAAAGCGCCGCACTGAACGTTTCTGACTTTAGAAAGCAGATTCTGACTTTAGAAAACAGATTCTGACTTTAGAAAGCAGAGTCTGACTTTTGAAAGCAGTTGAAGTGTTGGCATGACAGAGAGGAAAGCGCCGCGCTGAACATTTCTGACTGTAGAAAGCAGATTCTGACTTTAGAAAGCAGTTGAAGTGTCAGCATGACAGAGAGGAAAGCGCCGCGCTGAACGTTTCTGACTTTGGAAAGCAGATTCAGACTTTAGGGGATTCTGACTTTAGACAGCAGTTTGTGACTTTTAGATAGCAGTTGAAGTGTCGGCGTGACAGAGAGGAAAGCGCCTCGCTGAACGTTTCTGACCTCAGAAAGCAGTTGAAGTGTCGGTGTGACAGAGAGGAAAGCACCGCGCTAAACGTTTCTGACTTTAGAAAGCAGTTTCTGACTTTAGAAAGCAGTTGAAGTGTCAGCATGACAGAGAGGAAAGCGCCGTGCTGAACGTTTCTGACTTTAGAAAGCAGAGTCTGACTTTCGAAAGCAGTTGAAGTGTTGGCGTGACAGAGAGGAAACCGCCGAGCTGAACGTTTCTGACTTTGGAAAGCAGATTCAGACTTTAGGGGATTCTGACTTTAGAAAGAAGTTTGTGACTTTTAGATAGCAGTTGAAGTGTCGGCGTGACAGAGAGGAAACCGCCTCGCTGAATGTTTTTGACCTCAGAAAGCAGTTCAAGTGTTGGCGTGACAGAGAGGAAAGCACCGCGCTGAATGTTTCTGACCTCAGAAAGCAGTTGAAGTGTCGGCGTGACAGAGAGGAAAGCGCTGCGCTAAACGTTTCTGACTTTAGAAAGCAGAATCTGACTTTAGAAAGCAGTTTCTGACTTTAGAAAGCAGTTTCTGACTTTAGAAAGCAGTTGAAGTGTCAGCATGACAGAGAGGAAAGCGCCGTGCTGAACGTTTCTGACTTTAGAAAGCAGAGTCTGACTTTCGAAAGCAGTTGAAGTGTTGGCGTGACAGAGAGGAAAGTGCAGAGCTGAACGTTTCTGACTTTGGAAAGCAGATTCAGACTTTAGGGGATTCTGACTTTAGAAAACAGTTTGTGACTTTTAGATAGCAGTTGAAGTGTCGGCGTGACAGAGAGGAAAGCGCCTCACTGAATGTTTCTGACCTCAGAAAGCAGTTGAAGTGTCGGCGTGACAGAGAGGAAAGCGCCTCACTGAATGTTTCTGACTTTAGAAAGCAGTTTATGACTTTTAGAAAGCAGTTGAAGTGTCGGCATGACAGAGAGGAAAGCGCAGAGCTGAACGTTTCTGACCTCAGAAATTAGTTGAAGTGTCGCGTGACAGAGAGGAAAGCGCTGCGCTTAACGTTTCTGACATTAGAAAGCAGTTTCTGACTTTAGAAAGCAGTTGAAGTGTCGGTGTGACAGAGAGGAAAGCACCGCGCTAAACGTTTCTGACTTTAGAAAGCAGTTTCTGACTTTAGAAAGCAGTTGAAGTGTCAGCATGACAGAGAGGAAAGCGCCGTGCTGAACGTTTCTGACTTTAGAAAGCAGAGTCTGACTTTCGAAAGCAGTTGAAGTGTTGGCGTGACAGAGAGGAAACCGCCGAGCTGAACGTTTCTGACTTTGGAAAGCAGATTCAGACTTTAGGGGATTCTGACTTTAGAAAGAAGTTTGTGACTTTTAGATAGCAGTTGAAGTGTCGGCGTGACAGAGAGGAAACCGCCTCGCTGAATGTTTCTGACCTCAGAAAGCAGTTCAAGTGTTGGCGTGACAGAGAGGAAAGCGCCTCGCTGAATGTTTCTGACTTTAGAAAGCAGTTTATGACTTTTAGAAAGCAGTTGAAGTGTCGACATGACAGAGAGGAAAGCGCCTCGCTGAATGTTTCTGACTTTAGAAAGCAGTTTGTGACTTTTAGATAGCAGTTGAAGTGTCGGCGTGACAGACAGGAAAGCGCCTCGCTGAACGTTTCTGACCTCAGAAAGCAGTTGAAGTGTCGGTGTGACAGAGAGGAAAGCACCGCGCTAAACGTTTCTGACTTTAGAAAGCAGTTGAAGTGTCAGCATGACAGAGAGGAAAGCGCCGTGCTGAACGTTTCTGACTTTAGAAAGCAGAGTCTGACTTTCGAAAGCAGTTGAAGTGTTGGCGTGACAGAGAGGAAACCGCCGAGCTGAACGTTTCTGACTTTAGAAAGCAGATTCTGATTTAGAAAGCAGTTTCTGACTTTAGAAAGCAGTTGAAGTGTCAGCATGACAGAGAGGAAAGCACCGCGCTGAAAGTTTCTGACTTTAGAAAGCAGAGTCTGACTTTCGAAAGCAGTTGAAGTGTTGGCGTGACAGAGAGGAAAGCGCAGAGCTGAACGTTTCTGACTTTGGAAAGCAGATTCAGACTTTAGGGGATTCTGACTTTAGAAAGAAGTTTGTGACTTTTAGATAGCAGTTGAAGTGTCGGCGTGACAGAGAGGAAAGCACCGCGCTGAATGTTTCTGACCTCAGAAAGCAGTTGAAGTGTCGGCGTGACAGAGAGGAAAGCGCTGCGCTAAACGTTTCTGACTTTAGAAAGCAGATTCTGACTTTCGAAAGCAGTTGAAGTGTCGGCGTGACAGAGAGGAAACCGCCTCGCTGAATGTTTCTGACCTCAGAAAGCAGTTCAAGTGTCGGCATGACAGAGAGGAAAGCGCAGAGCTGAACGTTTCTGACCTCAGAAAGTAGTTGAAGTGTCGCGTGACAGAGAGGAAAGCGCTGCGCTAAACGTTTCTGACTTTAGAAAGCAGAGTCTGACTTTAGAAAGCAGTTTCTGACTTTAGAAAGCAGTTTCTGACTTTAGAAAGCAGTTGAAGTGTCGGCGTGACAGAGAGGAAACCGCCTCGCTGAATGTTTCTGACCTCAGAAAGCAGTTCAAGTGTCGGCATGACAGAGAGGAAAGCGCCGTGCTGAACGTTTCTGACTTTAGAAAGCAGAGTCTGACTTTCGAAAGCAGTTGAAGTGTTGGCGTGACAGAGAGGAAAGTGCAGAGCTGAACGTTTCTGACTTTGGAAAGCAGATTCAGACTTTAGAGGATTCTGACTTTAGAAAACAGTTTGTGACTTTTAGATAGCAGTTGAAGTGTCGGCGTGACAGAGAGGAAACCGCCTCGCTGAATGTTTCTGACCTCAGAAAGCAGTTGAAGTGTCGGCGTGACAAAGAGGAAAGCGCCTCACTGAATGTTTCTGACTTTAGAAAGCAGTTTATGACTTTTAGAAAGCAGTTGAAGTGTCGGCATGACAGAGAGGAAAGCGCAGAGCTGAACGTTTCTGACCTCAGAAAGTAGTTGAAGTGTCGCGTGACAGAGAGGAAAGCGCTGCGCTAAACGTTTCTGACTTTAGAAAGCAGAGTCTGACTTTAGAAAGCAGTTGAAGTGTTGGCGTGACAGAGAGGAAAGCGCCGAGCTGAATGTTTCTGACTGTAAAAAGCAGATTCTGACTTTTGAAAGCAGTTGAAGTGTCAGCATGACAGAGAGGAAAGGGCCGCGCAGAACGTTTCTGACTTTAGAAAGCAGAGTCTGACTTTCGAAAGCAGTTGAAGTGTTGGCGTGACAGAGAGGAAAGTGCAGAGCTGAACGTTTCTGACTTTGGAAAGCAGATTCAGACTTTAGGGGATTCTGACTTTAGAAAACAGTTTGTGACTTTTAGATAGCAGTTGAAGTGTCGGCGTGACAGAGAGGAAACCGCCTCGCTGAATGTTTCTGACCTCAGAAAGCAGTTGAAGTGTCGGCGTGACAGAGAGGAAAGCGCCTCACTGAATGTTTCTGACTGTAAAAAGCAGATTCTGACTTTAGAAAGCAGATTCTGACTTTTGAAAGCAGTTGAAGTGTCAGCATGACAGAGAGGAAAGCGCCGCGCTGAACGTTTCTGACTTTTAGAAAGGAGCTGAAGTGTATGAGATAAAGCAGGTCAAGTTTGTTATTAGTAAATCCGACTGAAATGTTTGTTGTTGTTGTTGTTGTTGCTGTTGCGAAGCGACCACATGTGTTTTTCCCCCTTTAACTCATCAGCAACCGGTCACATGGCAACCGTCCAAGGATGGTGAACGTCTGATTGGTCGAATTCTGTTGAATAAGAGGATGAAGGATGGGACTGTTCCTGCGGATACAGGGGCGCTGCTGGGACTCAAGGTGAAACCGCCTTCTTCCTCTTCCTTTTCTTTGTCTCCTCCTCCTCTTCCTCTTCTCCTCCTCTTCTTTGTCTCCTCCTCCTCTTCCTCTTCTTCTTCTTCTATGCCTCCTCTTCCTCTTCTCCTCCTCCTCCTGTTTGTGACGCTCTCACCTCACTCTGTGTGCAGGTTAGTGTCTTGCTCATGGGCAGTGTGTTTTCAGGTGGTGGGGGGGAAGATGACAGAGTCCGGTCGTCTCTGTGCGTTCATCACTAAGGTGAAGAGAGGGAGTCTAGCGGACACTGTGGGACACCTGAGACCAGGTAAACACACGCCTGAGACCAGGTAAACACACGCCTGAGACCAGGGAAACACACGCCTGAGACCAGGGAAACACGCGCCTGAGACCAGGGAAACACACGCCTGAGGCCAGGCAAACGCACACCTGGGGCCAGGGGAACGCACACCTGAGGCCAGGGGAACACACGCCTGAGGCCAGGCAAACGCACACCTGAGGCCAGGGGAATGCACACCTGAGGCCAGGAGAACACACACCTGAGACCAGGAGAACACACACCTGAGACCAGGGGAACACACACCTGGGGCCAGGGGAACGCACATCTGAGACCAAGGGAACGAACACCTTAGACCAGGGGAACACACATCTGAGGCCAGGCAAACGCACACCTGAGGCCAAGGGAACGAACACCTTAGACCAGGGGAACACACATCTGAGGCCAGGCAAACGCACACCTGAGGCCAAGGGAACGAACACCTGAGACCAAGGGAACGAACACCTGAGACCAAGGGAACGAACACCTGAGACCAAGGGAACGAACACCTGAGACCAGGGGAACACACAACTGGGGCCAGGGGAACACACAGCTGAGGCCAGGGGAACACACAGCTGAGGCCAGGGGAACACACACCTGAGACCAAGGGAACGAACACCTGAGACCAGGGGAACGCACACTTGAGGCCAGGGGAACGCACACTTGAGGCCAGGGGAACGCACACTTGAGGCCAGGAGAACGAACACCTGAGACCAGGGGAACGCACACTTGAGGCCAGGGGAACACACACCTGAGGCCAGGGGAACACGCATCTGGGGCCAGGGGAACGCACAGCTACATCACAGGTGCATCTCTTTCTTTCCTCAGGTGATCAGGTTCTGGAGTGGAATGGTCGGGTTCTTCAGGGTGCCTCGTTTGATGAAGTTTACAACATCATCCTGGAGTCCAAACCAGAACCACAGGTGGAGCTGGTTGTGTCCCGACCAGCCGGGTAGGTCAAAGGTGACACTGTCGGTGCCGGCCAATGAAACGGGAGCATCATCAACACGTAGCGATAGTAGCAGCAGACGTCATAGTTCAGCCCTGCTCACATGTTCACAGCTGCTCTCTGTCCTTAAAACAGGAATACAGTTTAAAACGAAGCACGTAGACAACTCAAACTGCATGATTTAGATCTGACCAGAAGTTCTGTTGCGGCAGAACGTTCCATTAATAGACTGTTGTTTGTGTTCCTCAGAGATGTTTCCAGAGCAGCAGATAGCTCCTACGTCCATCTGGAGTCCAGTGAGTTAATTACTAAACCACCACTGGGGGGTCTTAACGAGTCTGTACAGGAGTTATAATCGTTCTCTAGAAGACGACTATCTGACAGTTCGCCCACACTGACAGGACGAACATGCAAAGAGCTAAAATACAAAACGCTTCCTGTTCTATGCTCTACATGACGTCCTCTCTGTGTTCGGTGTGTTTAGGTTCCAGTTCCTTCAACTCTCAGAAAGTCGGTCCATCCATCTCCGTCACGTCTCCTATGAGCCCCACCGTTCTGTCCGGACAGGTCTCTGTAAGTTTACCCAGCATGCACTGCACTGCCACAGTCCACAGCCAATCAGCTCTCAGTTAACAGCCTCTTCCACGGCGATGTGTGTTTCAGACAGTGAGCAGGCGTCCTCTGGTTCCCAGGATCCAGGTAACTGTTGCTGTAGAGAGGAGAGAGCTATCCGTCTGTTCCACCCATCTTTGTTCTGTCTGTAGTTCTGCCTGTTAGTTCTCTCATGGTGTCAGTAACGTTAATGCCCCGCCCACCAAATGCTTACCTGACGGAACCAGCGATGGAACGTCTGGTTACAGCTGTCAGATAAATGTAGTGGAGTAGAAGCATAGAGTAGGAACCTTGTTTTTCTCCAGTGTGAATAAGGTTCTATTTCTGTTCCCCGGAGCGCTGCTTCTCTGCTGGGTTCCCTATCTGTTCTTCTTCTCTTCTGCAGGGCTGCTCTGTGGTTGTCAGGGTTTCTGGGCTTCTACCTTTGGGTTCTACATAAGTTCTGTGGGATTCTTGTAGTGTTCTACCGAGGCCACCATTACAAATTATTCAGCTGGTGTTCTACATGGTACTGTTAGTGATGAATAGGATTCAGCTCCTGCTCTGTTGTTCACAACTATTGTTCTATATGGTTCTGTCCTTTAGGGTCCCTCAGTTCCTGCTGAGCATTTTTGTTGAAGATGATTTTTTCAGGCTTCTTGTGTTTATCGGATATGAACAGATCAGATCTCCCGATGAGTGGTCTTCCCGCTCTACCTCAATGCTATACACAGTTAGAGGTAACTGCTCCCGGGCTGGAGCAGAACCCGGTCCGTTGTGGTAAGGACTCAGCCTTAGTACGTAGTGCACGCTCTACCAGGTGTGCTAACTGTTGTTGAGGGTTCTGACACTGTTTTACAGGCCTTTTTATGGGATGTGTCTGGTGTTTAATAGGGTTGTTTCTGTGTTCTTTGGGGTTCTATTGATGTCCTACAGGGTGCAGCTACTGCTCTGTATGTTTGTTCTATACCTGAGAGTTCTGCCACTATTATAAATGGTTTTGCTTTGTTCTGTTATGCTCTGGTATTCGTTACTGCTTCTGGTCTGTGTGGAGTTGCTGTAAATCTTCACTGTTCACAGGGTTCTCCTCCTGTTGGGGGTTCCTCTGCTCTTCTGTTGGCTGTATATTCCCTCTGTTGTTCCCCAGGGTTCTCCAGCTGTGAAGGGTTCTGTCCTTGATGTCCTAATTTTAAACCTGATATTTTTTCACAGATGAAGCTGTGGTACGATAAAGTCGGTCATCAGCTGATTGTCACCGTACTCGGAGCCAAAGAACTTCCTGTCCGAGACGATGGCCGACCGAGGAACCCCTACGTCAAGATCTACTTCCTGCCAGACAGAAGGTAACACAAGAACCAATCAGTGTTTTAGGGACTAGATAATGTCAGGTGATGATTAGAAGCTTAGGCCCAGTGTTCTCTGGTTTCTCCTCTGTGTTTTGTGATCTATGTGGTTCTGGTGTATAACCTGCAGAACCTCTGTTCTAGTTCTCTGTGACCAGTAGTGGGTCCTGCTCTGGGACTTAGTGTTGTTTGTTTCCTCTCCTTACAGTGATAAGAGCAAGCGGAGAACAAAAACAGTGAAGAAGTCGGTGGAACCTCGGTGGAACCAGACCTTCATGTACTCGCCGGTCCATCTGCGGGAGTTCAAAGAACGGATGTTGGAGCTGACGGTCTGGGATCAGGCCCGTGTCCGAGAGGAGGAGAGCCAGTTCCTGGGAGAGGTCAGAACACATGGAGAACACCGAAAACGTAGAACCCGACATGTTGAGTTGTAGTCTTGTTTGTTAGCTTGTGTTCCCGATAGTTTTAGGTCTCATAAACAAACAGATCAACATGGTGGGAGAACCTCTTCCTGTTACAGGCGTGAGAGTCGCATCAATCTGAACAAAGACAACACACTGATGTTCCTTTAGAGAACATGTAGAACACTAGACATTACTGCCTGTCTTTCTGTGTTCAGGTCCTGATCGAGCTGGACTCGGCTCTGCTGGACGATCAGCCTCACTGGTACAAACTGCAGCTCCATGACGTTTCCTCCCTGCCGCTGCCCAGCGGTTCCCCCTACCTGCAGAGGAGAGTACTGCAGCCTGAGGAGGCCGGCAGGAGGCTGCAGAGTGAGACACACTAACACACACTGAGGATACACACTAACACACACTGAGGATACACACTAACACACACACTGAGGATACACACTAACACATACACACTAACACACACACTGAGGATACACACTAACACACTGAGGATACACACTAACACACACACACTGAGGATACACACTAACACACACTGAGGATACACACTAACACACACACTGAGGATACACACTAACACACACTGAGGATACACACTAACACACACTGAGGATACACACTAACACACACACTGAGGATACACACTAACACACACACTGAGGATACACACTAACACACACTGAGGATACACACTAACACACACACTGAGGATACACACTAACACACACACTGAGGATACACACTAACACACACTGAGGATACACACTAACACACACACTGAGGATACACACTAACACACACTGAGGATACACACTAACACACACACACTGAGGATACACACTAACACACACTGAGGATACACACTAACACACACACTGAGGATACACACTAACACACACTGAGGATACACACTACACACACACTGAGGATACACACTAACACACACTGAGGATACACACTAACACACACTGAGGATACACACTAACACACACACACTGAGGATACACACTAACACACACTGAGGATACACACTAACACACACTGAGGATACACACTAACACACACTGAGGATACACACTAACACACACTGAGGATACACACTAACACACACTGAGGATACACACTAACACACACACACTGAGGATACACACTAACACACACTGAGGATACACTCTAACACACACACTGAGGATACACACTAACACACACTGAGGATACACACTAACACACACACACTGAGGATACACACTAACACACACTGAGGATACACACTAACACACACTGAGGATACACACTAACACACACTGAGGATACACACTAACACACACACTGAGGATACACACTAACACACACTGAGGATACACACTAACACACACTGAGGATACACACTAACACACACTGAGGATACACACTAACACACACACTGAGGATACACACTAACACACACTGAGGATACACACTAACACACACTGAGGATACACACTAACACACACACTGAGGATACACTCTAACACACACTGAGGATACACACTAACACACACTGAGGATACACTCTAACACACACTGAGGATACACACTAACACACACACTGAGGATACACACTAACACACACTGAGGATACACACTAACACACACACTGAGGATACACACTAACACACACACTGAGGATACACACTAACACACACACTGAGGATACACACTAACACACACACTGAGGATACACACTAACACATACACTGAGGATACACACTACACACACACTGAGGATACACACTAACACACACTGAGGATACACACTAACACACACTGAGGATACACACTAACACACACACTGAGGATACACACTAACACATACTGAGGATACACACTAACACACACTGAGGATACTCTAACACACACTGAGGATACACACTAACACACACACTGAGGATACACACTAAC